CGTAATAAAAAATTTTTAGGCCAAATCCTAAAGTTAATCATTAACCATATTACCCAAAAAGAAATTGTTTTCAATAAAAATAAAAAGCACTTTACAAAGACTTAATTATTTTGTTGGTCCTGAAATTATAGCTTTGCACTGTTTTTCTCTGGTTTTCCCTACAAAGTCAGGACATTTTTGTCCTGAAAATGTACACTCCCCCCACTCTACACACACACACACAAACACACACACACACACACACACACACACACACACACACACACACACATATGCACATGCACTGTCTAAAAAGATGGCAAGAACAACAGGAAAAGAAATGCAAACACAGTTTTGAGGTTGGTTTTTTTTTCATTTTCATTATTGATGTTGCTTTAAGACAGCAATGAATATTTGGAAAGGTTATATGCGTAGAGCTTTCAGTCATTAGATTGTCCTCTTATTGTACTATTAAAGTGCATCTCATTCAGAAACATAGAAAGTATTGAATTTCATCTTTTGTCCTCCACATTCTGAAGGTTTTTCCCTTTTGTAGAAAAAAAGAAATGGCTGTACTGTAGAATATACTATAGCGACTAATTCTATCAGATGGGAAGGATGGAAGGTTTAAGCTACATGTCAGAGGATGTCTATGCTTATGGCCTAAAGCTATTCTCTGAAGCCAGTCTAAGTGTGTGTTTGAGTAACACAGATCTGTGCAGATTTGCACGTAATGCTGCATATATGTTATTAAGGGATCTGCTAAAAATCTGCATTATTTTGAACACACTTCAAGGCTGGAGTTGCAGAAATCTAAGCTGCTTGTGTTGCTTCAGGAACACAGTTGGCTAAGAGTTCTGACACTCTTCAGTCGAACAGTGGAGCACTACACAGATACACGGTTTACAACGCATGCTGAACACACACACACAAAGCACACTGTGCGTAACTGAGCAATGGGATTCATTTCTTTTAACCTTGCAGGTTCTGCTAGCACTGTGTGAAGGATGTCACTTTAAAAAACAAAACAAACAAACAAACAAATAAAATACACCCTAAATACACTCAGGTCCAAAGCAAGTGATTATTTGCCAGCATTGGCAGCTTGTGCTCAATCAAAGCCTGTCTTTAACACTTATTTAATCAAATCCTGCTCTTAAATCTCAAACTGTTGCATTGTTATAACAATTAACATTTATATAGATGTTCTGCTGCCAATGATCAGTTTTGGTGAAGTGCTTTAGTTTTAGGGCTGGTCCGAACAGTATTTTACAGGATTTGAATACTCGTTGATATTTCTAAACTATATATAAACTCTACTCAAATACTCATTCACAAAAAAAACATTAATCTGATTATGTTTTTAGTCATTCATCTGATGAAACAAATTCGCTTCCATTTTAATCAGTGTTTTAGTCCACACTGGCTGAGGCAGACTGTTATACCATTGAAGCGCAAGCCATTTTTTTCCACATGTGAGTTAAGTGTAAACTCCATAGAGATCCAGTCAAATCACACACTCCCACTTTCTATAGTGCTCAAAACTCTACTTAAAATAATATGATGGTGTTATTGATGTGGTACTTTCAGAGCAGCTCCTGCGCTGTACTAATGTTGCTTGGAGGCTACTCTTCGATACAGCGGGAACTTGTGATTGTGGTTTCACGAAAATAAACAGATCTGCTGTTTGTGCTATCAAGTTTTAATAGTGTTGTAAAGTTGTTTCATTAGAAAAGAAGACAAAAGAGCTAATACTCCTGCCTGAAGCAGCTGAGTTGAAGGCAGTGTAGACTGGATAATACATTAAACTCATGTGCCTCTGTGGTATACCAACCTCTTATCACAAATATTGTTCATTTTAGGAAAGCGGTGCGGTTTGTTGTGCTCTGAGGTGACGTGAGGTGAATGCTTGCCATGGATTTGTGATATATTCAAACTAAACCAGCTATAATTAATTTTTAACATTTCCCATATTAACAATAACTGTTCTATCTAAAGCCTTTTCCTGATAAAATTTTATGTACAATTAGGGTACATTTTTGGTGGTTTAAAAAAAAAAAAGTTTTCTCTACACTAAACATACATAAACCTACCAAACTATTACTCGAGTATTCAAATTATTCGGCCAGCCCTACAGGCTACACAAAGAGAACTGGTTCAATGAGATGGGGCTATTTCAGAGAGAACAGATCTTTTCTCTCTAACAACATTGCACATGCAGATATCAAACAATAGAATGGCTGTGTTCTATTAACACCCAGTCCTGTATACATACATACACAATAGGACAAGAAGTGTTGATAGGCATCCTTCCAGTCCTTGGCAATGGAATGATCATAAGATGCTTACACAACGCCTTAAGACATTCAGTGCTCCAATGAAAACCTTGAAATGGCTAAAGTTTAATACCAATAAATAAAATAAAAATAAATAAATAAATAAATAAACAAACAGACCTACAAAATCAAAAGAAGCACCTGCAATCAATGTGATGACACTGTTTTGTGAATCTTCCATTTATAAAAGTGCTAAATATGCAATAAAAAAAAGTTCACAGAGGTACATTTTTCATCGTTACTTCTGGTACACGATGATTCCAGGTTCAAACTCAGTTACATGTGAATTCTGAAATAACAGAAATAAAATATGCAGTGAGTGCAAGTGTGCAAAAGATGATACACCCTTCTCATGTACACATTTCTATGCATAGAATAAAGCTCCCTGTCTGCTTGCATTTAAGTTATTATATGTCATATCTGTCTATAGGCACTGCCGATGCACAGCGCGGGCAACAGTTTCAGCGAATCTGGCCTCTGACCCCCACCTATGGGCTTGATGTAAATGGCCAAAAAAAGGAAAGGAAAAACATAAAGTTTACAGCAATGCCCTTCTGGCCTGAGTTAAAAACATTGGCTGACAGCTAACAGCTGTAAGGAATTTGGCTGTTCCTAAATCGTCAGCACATCCAGTCTGTTATAAAACTTCAAAAAAACATGAAGCCACCTGCAGGACACGTCGCTCATCTGCAGACGCAGTGCGAAGGTCAAGCGATGCTAGAAGGACCGGCACCCTGCAGTTGCAGCTACTGCAGTATGCAGCATTAACTCACTGCAGCTGTGAACTGTTGCTCTGCCACTGCCTAGGTTACTGTGCGTGTCTTTACGTCTTTGGCACCCAAAGACAAAACCATAACTAAATAAATAAGTAAAAAAAATGAACTCAGCACCAGTGCTTAGGTTCATCATTTACAGTACATACAGTAGCCATGTAATGCAGATATATATCGGCATTATATACATATATATATATATATATATATATATATATGCACACAAACACACACACACACACACACACACATATATATATATATATATATATACATGTGTTACTATTATTATTATTATTATTATTATTATGTATATTATTATATATATTAGCATCACTGTCAGAACAAAACCTGATATCTCCAAAATAGTAGATTTAGTGGAGAAGGAAAAAACACTTTACTTGAACCTGGCTACATAACACTGACATAACCATGTCATATACAGTTATGAGTTCACAGATTATGTCCAGTATATAACAGTGTCATGTTACCATTAGCATTAACCATCATGAAAGATGTCATAATGACTAGAGAACCCTTAGCAAACTTTAGCGTGTGGTTTCGCAAATCTCACTCATAACTGCATGACATCTTCCATGACGTTTATGTTGGGGTTATGTCACTGTTATGTAGGAAAACTGAAGTAAAATATGTATTAAAAATAAATAAACAAATAAGTGAAAAATACAGGAGATTTTGTTCTGAGTGACATATATGTGCGCGTATATATACACACATATATATATATACATATATATATATATATATATATATATATATATATGCAGATATAGCTGTTATATCTACTTATTGTTTTTTCAATAGAAATTCCATGCTGCTCATGCAACACTAGAGTATTAGCATTAATCACTTTTTCTTGTTTAAAGCCAAAAAATGGGGGGCGTAGTGTCGTATAAACTCCACCAAAGCTATTTTAACATCTGGAAATGTTTTCAAGATGATAGGCATAGCCAAAAAGCACAGTCAGTGCATAAAAACAATACCAATGCTACAATTCTATTGTATGGATTAGCTGATAATTTAGGGTAGAGTACAATGTAAACTACATATGGCTTGTTTAGCTGCAAGATCATCTCAATATCAATCATAACCATAACTCTGTAGCCCCCGGGCAAAAGTAATGAACATATGTGCTGGGCATGAAATGGAACTGTTGTGCCATCTCTCTTAAACCTCTTTCACATTGCTGCATGTCTAGGTTAATGTTTCCTCAAACAATGCTAAGAGGTGACAATGATTAGCAAGTAAGAATAAGGTCTTGACAACAGTGTAATCTAGCGTACCTGCTAGATTGTGCCATTAACAAAAAAGGTGAAAAGCTAACTGCATTTGTTCAGCATGTGGCAAACAAACTACTTCACCATGAGCATAAATGATGGCACTGAAACATTCAGCCTGTCTAAAAAGCTTTTCAGTAAGACCTGCATTCGTGAGAGCATAAATGTAAATGTGGTCCATTGAGGCTACTGTGAGTCTGAAGACAATAATTTAAAACCATAAGCAGACACTTATAAAGGACATTCTCAGTCTGGAGGCAAGTATTGTAATGATGAAATAATAGAAAACCAGTTGCTCAGAGCTAAATCAACTATTATCTGAGTGCATTGTGAGGATTATCATTTTCAGTTATAATTTTTGTCAGACATCTATAATAAACAGCAGCAGTAATGGAGGAAGTTCTTGTTTGTATATTTTTGTTTCCTTATTATTATACCGCCTGTGAGGCCTCACGTTCCTTACAGCAGAAGAAGCACACAAATAACATTTTCTTTGGAGAAGCAAGGAGATGTAGCTGGACTTTGAGGGAAGGATACTTGAGTGATGATGCATATATGGTACATGGTTGTTTTTGGAGGTACAAAGTCTGGAACTCTTGTGGTTAGGTTGTTTCTTCTTCCTCCTGTAGTTTCTACAGTTTGGCTATTATTGTGGGATGTTTGGGAATTTTGAATAAGAGTCGCAAAGACGAAAGCTAATTGCATGCAGACTCGGATCAATATTTGGATATGGATCTTATGGAGGGCTGGTCTGTTCTTGAGGTCTCTGAGTGAAATTGTTAATCTCATATCAATAGCAGAAGTTCTGACACTTCTTGATCATCTTTAGTGCATTGCTTTACAGTTTCAAAAACTTCTATAGTCTGAGGCGGCCGTCTCACTGGTCATTAGCATAATCCCAGTTGATTACACATCTGTGAGCATTTTTTTGATATTGACATAGTTTGTGTTGGCTAGAGTGCAATTGCCTTTTTTGAGGTCCTCCTCCTGAAAATCCTCGTTGCTGTTGTTCACCCCTTCCTGGATTTCCATATATTCAGACTTGCTGATGGTGGAACCACTTCGACTTCTTTTTAGCTCTTCTTGGGAATCAGCTTTGGGGACGTTAACCTGGAGATACTGGGCCTGCTCCTCGCCCTCTGTCTCACGATGGTAGAAATAATTGAAATTTGAGACAATGACAGGAACAGGCAAGGCAATGGTCAGCACACCAGCAATGGCACAAAGAGAACCAACAATCTTCCCACCGATAGTGGTCGGTACCATGTCTCCATAGCCAACTGTCGTCATGGTAACCACAGCCCACCAGAAGGCATCAGGGATGCTGTAGAACTGGGATTCGGGTTCGTCTGCCTCAGCAAAGTAGACAGCGCTGGAGAAGAGGATGACTCCAATGAAAAGAAAGAAGATGAGCAAGCCAAGCTCCCTCATACTGGCCTTCAGGGTCTGGCCCAGAATCTGGAGTCCCTTGGAGTGGCGAGAGAGCTTGAAGATTCTGAAGACCCTCACCAGCCTGATGACTCGCAAGATGGCTAAAGACATGGCCTGCTGCCCTTGCTGACCATCCTCTGCTTTTTCTGCCAGTTCTGTTCCTAGTGTGATGAAATAGGGGATGATGGCCACCACATCGATCATATTCATTATATTCACAAAGAAGCTGGCTTTGCTGGGACAGGCGAAGAAACGAACCAGGAACTCAAAGGTGAACCAGATTATGCAGAGCGTCTCCAGGATGAAGAAAGGGTCGGTGAAATAGGTGGATGAGTAGTTGGTGGTGGAATTGGTATTGTAATTGGGGGCTTTATGCATTTCCTCCTCATCACTACGGAAGATGGGCAAAGTTTCTAAGCAGAAGCTGACTATAGATATAAGAATCACCATGACAGATATAATGGCTATAATCCTTGCTGGTCCTGAACTTTCTGGATACTCGAACAGAAGCCACACCTGCTTCTGGAACTCATTATCAGGTAAAGGTCTCTCCTCTTCTTTGATGAAACCTTCGTCCTCTCGAAACATCTCAATAGCCTCCTCTCCAAGCTCATAAAACCGAATTTCCTCTGAGAATATATCCAGAGTCACATTTACGGGGCGCCGTAGCCTTCCTCCAGACTGGTAGTAGTAGAGGATGGCGTCAAAGCTCGGCCGGTTTCTGTCAAAGAAGTACTCATTCCTTAAAGGGTCAAAATATTTCATGCGCTTTTTGGGGTCCCCGAGCAAAGTCTCTGGAAACTGCGAGAGGGTCTTGAGCTGTGTCTCAAAGCGGAGGCCCGAAATGTTAATGACCACTCTCTCACAGCACTCCTGTTCTGCCTCGGCGTCATAGTCCTGAGGGTGGCCCGGGTGTGCTGCCGCCTCGTCTGAGGGGTCGCCCGTGGCCACTGTCATTATGCAGGAGGGTGAGGCCTGCACTTTTCACCTGAGCCAGGCACCACAGGGTGGGGAAATGGAGGGAGGGAGTCTGAGAGGGAGGGGGCTCAACGCTGTACAGAGCTGAGGGCCACAGCGTGCCACTGCAGGATTCACTGAAATACAGCAAGCAGAGAGACATTGAAAACCTACCCTGTACAGTGCAATAGTTATTTCAAATTAAGGAAATCTGCAAGGAACATAAAATGTACTCTCTGATCAGATTTTAAAGAACTTAAACCTACATTGTACAGTGAAAATGTTATTTAAAATTAAGGGAATCTGCGAGGAACATAAAATGTTGTACTCTCTGATCAGATTTTAAAGAACTTATGACTTATGACTGATGCTGAATCAGTATTCATCTTACATTCAAACTGATTATTCCTGTCTTTAATTACATATGTGAAATAAGGAACTGCAACAAAGGCATCCACTCCTCTGAAAGGATGTGAAAGCTTACTATGTTAATAGGGGTGTAACAGTGCATCATGTCTTCGCAATGAAAACTGTGATAGGTGTAAGGTTGAGATGTGACAGTCCATACTGGAGTGTGAACATTTGATTAATTATGCTTCCTAATGTAATTGTATTGTTTGAGGAAAGTTTGAACAGGAAAGTTTGCAAACAATCTGCACCAATCAACAGCTCATTCCAGCACTCGTCCTACCTCCCACCTCTATTTAGCGGCACCTGCAACATCATATATTAATTTTTTATATAAATGTGTATTTTTACATGAACAAATAGGTTACCATTACTTGCTAATTAGTGGAGCACGCCTTGAGAGAATCAACTTGTTTGAAACCTAACAATAGTGAGTAAACAAGCAAATTACAGTCATTTTTACTAACTGAATGTAATTTTGTGGGTACACTGGGGCCCACGAGATCCTACATTGCACAAATGTAACAGAACAGAAATTGATTTTAAGTGTTTTTGAAGTTATCAAGTTGTGCCACACCATGATCATCATCAATATTTGAATTTGCAAAATATCTTGAGAACCCAGTATTGAGATTTATCAGATCACGGGCTGAGTGCATTGTTACTCCCCTATATGATATGATAATGTGACAAAGACTTCAAATCAGTTAGCAAAGCTGGCCAAATCCACAAAAGTGAGGTGGAAATCAATACTTGGCTCATGCAAGAGAAAAGCGCGGATCATCACTCGAGTGAGCGAGAGTGTGTCTTTTAACCGAGTCTTGTCAGTTCATCCTCTGCTGTACTGCACTGGATGATCTCCATTCATATAACACTGCGGCTCTCACAGTGCAGTCATGCGAAAGAGGCCCATCTCTACGACACACTCAGTCATGCTGCCCCAAATCCAGCTCTGCCGATTTATCTCTTTCCTTAGTTTTTATGAATTACTCAAAATGTTGAGAAGACCCCACAGAGCGAAAGACGTTCATGCATATGCGTTGGGGCAGTTTTCATGGATGCTGGTCCCAAATGGTGCTAGTGGGCTTTGAAATATTCAACAGCAGCAGGCGATGAAATATTAAACTGGAGGAAAATAGATTTCAAGCAAGTCGTTGAACCCACCACCCTCACCACCCTCACCACCCCAACCCCACTTCTTACATGCATAGGCTACGTTATGCTTCATGCTTCGGTTTGGTAACTACATGCTGTTATAAAGAGCGCCTTGCTGCAGCCCTGAAGCCCAACAACTCGACAAGACTTCTAAACTCCGTTCAGTATCTAAAAAGCGCTGGATGGCTCGTCAGGGTTTGTACTGTACCTCTGTGGATAAACTTCTACCGCCGCGTGCCCGCTTCTTCTGCACGAGGACGGCGGCGCGAGGCTCCAAGACGCGAAACGCCAAACGCTCGTGCGGCGGCGTCAATCCCGGCAATGCCCGGGCTGTGGGCGCGTGGTGCAGAGGGAGGGGAGGAGGAGGAAGAGAGAGGGGCAGCACGCGGGTGTGTCCTCACCTCCCTCCAGAGCGGTTCGCTCTACACTCCGCACGGCAGGTTCGTCTGAAGAGTGGGGATGGGGAGGGGGGGCGCGGAGGGGGCGTGAAAAGCGCAGAGCGGGAAAATAAGGGGGCAAATAAGGAGCGCGCGTCTCACATAATACGGACGCGTGCACGAGCCCGGCTTCAGGTGGCCGAGAATAGCTTGAAATAACAAAGGTAGCCCCGTCAAGGATGCATGTTGTGTATTGTCTCTATAAGAAAGCGGAGCTCTCACTGATCATGATTAGTTTACTGGAAACTGTGGCTTTACGCAGCAAAATGATGCAGCCTGTTTGCCGGTTAGGTGATTCATAGCAACTTCACGGATGCCAGAGCAAAGTCATTTGAGAACGGAGCGCTCTCGAGCTCATCACCGAACACAAGTGACAGTCATCCATGCAGAAAACAAAGTGAGTGGTCGCGCGCGTCAACAAACTAGCAAAGCCACAAAATCGAAAGCAGCATGCATCAAGGAGCGTCTGTAAAGCCTCAACAGACAATGCATCAGTTTTCAGCATTGCGTCTCAGCTCCCTGTCCCCTACCTGTCTACCCTCCAGGTAAATCGCAGTGGTTGTGTAAAGAAAGGCCTAGATCTTTTTTCAGTCTGTGTCGCAATATGACGACTCTGGCTTATCACGAAGAGCCATTAGGCAGTTAGTTAACGCGTTCAATCGAATCTGCAGTCAAGCATTGCTGTGCATACCAACAAGGACCAGAGCGCAGACGGTTGGGTTGAAGAAACACGCTTTTCAACCGCACTGTACCGCGTTATTTTTAAACCCACCCGTATTCAGGACCCCCTCCATTTCTTTCGCCAGGATTGGCTGGTAGTGTTTCGCATTCTGGGCTGGTGGTTCGTGTTTACAAACAGTCCGTCCACATAGAGTACACTTCTAGCCAATCCGCGCGCAGAAGGCGGGGCTAGTCGCATTACGGGTGGGAAAAAAACACGCCACTATACCACTCCTTACTTTTCCGCAGAGTGGGCAGTTTTAAAGGGGACGTGCTTCAAGTGTGTAAGCGGTGTGTCCTCGTAACCTGCTTGAGACCTGCTCATAACCTGCTTTGTCTTCAGTATTTTTGTTCTTCGAACCTAAATAATTATTCTCCATTAAGAACTGCTTGAAGAGCAAGTGCACTGCCTATAAGCTCACTACGTTTTTCCAAATGAATTAGGCTAAGCTGTTCATTTATTTACCTAGGTGGAAAACAACACAGGGAAGGTGGTGGGCAAACTTCTCATCAAAATTTCAGCATTATGTACTTTTTAGCCATATAAACTGTGAACATTGTGAGGTGTCAGTGAGATGTACATATCACTGTTGGACATGCATGTCACATCTCCAAAATATACATTTTTCAGGAGATGGAAAAAACCTTTTCAACTTGTAATGCAAGTTAATGTTGAAATATTTTTTTCCACGTAACTTTGGACCATTTCCATCACTCTATCTGACTCAGTTGTAGACTTTCTCAAACAGTTGAGATGTTTCTAGATGGTTCAGTCTGCTTGTGGACTGCATACTCATATTGGCGCTGTAGTAAAGACCCAGACAATGATAATTCAGAATGAGCAAGCATTGCTCCATTCCATTCACAATGTTAGCAACGCTCGTCCACTCATCCACTTGTCAGATACTCAGCAGCAGAACACTCTTCTTCTCTAGACAACCTGCCAAAATTCCCTCCAGCTGATGAGTCAGACACAATAGTTTTACCCAAACTTATTACTCCAGGACTGGCTGCTGTTTTACATCCTTCTTAGATTTCAACTTGTGCTGGCATCCCTGATTTCATTCATTAGAAACTCATTAAGCCTTTTATTAATCAACTTAGAATTGATGGATGGCTAATGTGAGACAGCTGCGGCTTGTTCCACCAATGAACAGAATAAAGGACAGAATGTAGTACAATGGCCTGCTTCATGTAATTAGAAATGAACTGAGAGCTCATTTGTTGTCCACCATCTCCTTTTTCTCTTAGACAAAAGTAACATGAGAGGTTGAGTTCTTAACCAGTTTTTTTGTGATTTGTGACTCAGGTTCCTTTACTTCCTCCAGTTTGTCTACCAGTCACCACTGATATGCATACCTTACATGGGCCTGACAGCTGAGCCATTATTTATAAGAATGAAGGCTATTAAAAGCTTGTTAATACGGTAACAAAGCCTGGGCTCACATTGCATTAGCCTTTACACTTTAATTAAAATGGAAAGGCTTAAACCAGCACACAATGAGCTGACTGTACAGCGTGTTGGAAGACAGGACTATGTGTTGTAATGTGGTGGAAGAGGTACAATGAAAACAGGAAGCAAGTGATTTTGATTCAATTTCAGTCAAGTGCCTTAACCAAAACATAAGTTATATCACTTTAGAATAAGGACTGTCCTAAAATCCCAGTATTATTACAAATATCTATCTATAATATTCTCCATGAATAAAAATGTAATTTTTCGTTTGCACCAGAAACCATTGTGGTAAGGAATGTAGTGCTATTGAAATTTTCAATTATTTTCTTCTTCACACTATATATTATGAATAGATCTCTTATGCTCAGGGTTAAACATGCCAAAATGGCTCTGAATCATGAGAATCATTTCAAGTGGAGTTCTAGGAAAGACTTGATTCTGAATTTGTTCATTCTGTTCAGTCTAGATTTGTTCTGTCTTCAGTTTGAGAGAGTGAAGAAGGTGCAGACAGTGGCATTATGCCAGGCCCCAGGAGATACGCAAGGTCACTTATCCACCCACTGCTGCAGCACTTGCACCAGCAGAACTTGTAGACGTAATGAAGGACAGACACAAGCTCCTCCCGCACACGCACACACACACACCCAAGCAAATACAGTCCAATGAGTACACAACAAGTATCAGTGCTACTTTTATGATCATTTTATATAAACTGCTGAGGAGGTCACTATCTTTTGGAAGGTGATAGCCAAAAGGAAAACCAGGATATTCCAAAAATGGCGTTAAAATGTATGACAATATCTAGAGAAAACGGGACTCCTAACAACTGTGCAAGGTGTGGTAGACCACCAAAATAGCCACCACCAGATTAATGGTACTACAAGCTTTCATCTTTGAGAGAGTGGAGAAAATTAAGTTTCATTCTTGCCTCAGATCTTGAAAAATCTCCAGCTCTACGCTATGGGTCTGAATGGATGTGTAGCTGTCAAGAAGCTGTTACTGAGCAAGAAAAAAAGAAGAACATTTCCAAATCAAGCAGAGAAGCTGCTGATGTTCTCCGAACAATAGACTGACCACCCCAGAGTCCAGACCTCGACATTACTGAATGTGTTTGGGATTACTTGGATCATGAGAAGCAGAAGCTGCAACCAAATTCTAAGACTGAAGCTTGGAGATGTGGAAACAAATCTCTGCAGATTTCTTTGAATAACTACTTATATCACAACTATGCACGATTATATATTAGCTTAATAGGGCTAAAAATCTGTTTGCCCTTTGATCAACACATGATGA